TCCATCGTTTGGGTTCTCAAATAACAAAATAGCATGTCAATATAATAGGACTTATAAATTTATTGTCGATTGTTTAGTTTTATTGCTAAATTTCAGATTCCAGCTTTAAGTTGGCTAACCATATTAATGAGACTGTCCAGGCCATGAACTGGGCCTAATATGACCCAGCTGTATAATGTTAGGCCCAGTACCTTCAGCTTTGAAATTAATATTACTCAATTAAGACCATGGGGGTTTGATTTCGAATTCCAGGTCTTGCTGGATGTCGAGTTGGGCCAGCCGTAAGGCCCATGTTTGAGACAATGATATAAATAGCTCTAAACACAAAAATCGGGCAGTATCATGGGCTGGTTGTTGAGGCCCCGCACACTGAAAAGCCCCATCTTGCTTATTGAAGCTATTACATTTAAGGATTTTGAATTTGAATTATAGTTTGGGCCTCTAAAGCTAAGTAGCATATTTAAATTAAGAGGTTTTCCTCTTGTTTAAGTATGGACTTAAGTTTGAAGCCCGAATTACTCGACTGCTAGTTTGCCATAATTAATTAACTAGGCCCTTTTGGAGACATTTCATACTAGAAAACGATAGTCTCTTTAGGATGGCTTTTAAATAAATAAGTGAGATGAGCCTCGCTGCACAAAACATATAAATTGCGGGGGCCCTCATTAAATACTTAATTGAAATATCTTAGAATTCGAGACATGCCATTTAGCGAATTTTCATGGCTTCCCGCAAAGCTAATAAGACGCTAGCCACTTTAGGCGCGCTTTTAATAATTTACCTTCCTGAACTCGGGTGTGCATCCCATGCGACCCAAATCCAAATCCCAAAACGTTGAATAAGAGGTGTTGAGGATCCGGGTGCATTTCATGTGACGTGATCCAAAAGCACGCTCTTAAACGGCGTTCACTTCCGTAAAATAAACTACAAGCGATAAATTGCACTATAGGTTTGAACTTGTATAAAAATCAGATTTTAGCCATTTATAATAATTTAAGCGACCGTGCTAGAACCACGGGATCCGGGGGTGCCTAACACCTTCCCTCGGGTCAACAGAATTCCTTATTCAGAATTTCTGGTTCGCAGACTCCAATTGGGAAGTCGAAATTTTCCTCGATTTGGGATTCAAATTAAACCGGTGACTTGGGACACCAAAAGCTAATCCTATCCCAAGTGGCGACTCTAAAAAATAAATAAATAATCGCATTTCGAATAATGTCACTTTTAATGGAAAAACTCCCTTATACATTTATCCTTTCGGAGTAGGTGTGTAAAAAAGGAGGTGTGACAATCAGGGAAACAATTGGGGCAACAACCAGGGTGGATGAAACAACAACTAAGGAAATCAGGGGCAAGGCTTTCAAAGGCCCCCAATGTACCAACAACCGAGCAACCCACCGCCTTTTCCATCCCAGGGTCCTAGTTCTTCCAACAATGAAATGGGGAGAATTGAAATGATGTTTGAACAAATGATGAAAAAGAATGCTGACTCCGATGCGCAATTGGCTTCTCACAACACTTCAATCAGAAATTTGGAGGTTCAGCTAGGCCAAATATCTCAGTCTCTGAATACTCGCCCTAAGGGGGCTCTACCGAGTGATACGGTGGTTAACCCAAAGGGTGGGAACAATCATGTTATGGCGGTCACTACAAAGAGTGGACGAGGCGGTGATGTGAATGCCTCCAAACAAAAGCAAATTTTGAGTGATGAAGTTGAGTTGCAAGAAGATGAAGTTCCTTTTGTGGTTGAAAATGCGATTGATGAAAAAGTGAATGAAGAAGTGAGAATTGATGTTCAAGATGTCGAGGTGGAAGCACAGAATGACGTGAACCCGTCTAGGGAACACGTAATAGACATGTCGGAGCCGGTTGTGCCAAAAGCCAAGGCACCCTTGCCTAGGCCACCTCCACCTTATCCTCAGAGGCTAGCCAAGCAGAAAAATGAGAATCAGTTTAAAAAGTTCATTGACATGATGAAGAGCTTATCCATTAATGTGCCTTTAGTGGAGGCTTTGGAGCAAATGCCTGGCTATGCTAAATTCATGAAAGATTTGGTGACGAAGAAAAGATCCATGGACTGTGAAACTATCAAGATGACCCACCAAGTTAGTGCTATAGTACATTCAATGGCCCCGAAATTGGAGGATCCCGGTGCTTTCACCATTCCTTGCACTATTGGAAGTGCAGACTTTGCTAAAGCTCTATGTGATTTGGGGGCGAGTATCAACTTGATGCCCTACTCAGTTTTCAAGAACTTGGGGATTGGACAGCCGAGGCCGACTTCCATGAGGTTGCAAATGGCAGATAGATCGATGAAGAGGCCTTTGGGTATTATTAATGATGTGCTTGTCCGGGTGGATAAATTTATCTTGCCAGCTGACTTTGTGATCTTAGATTGTGAGGTAGATTATGAAGTCCCGATCATATTGGGGAGACCTTTCTTTGCTACGGGGAAGGCCTTAGTTGATGTGGAAGCATGTGTGCAAGTCAATGAAGCAGCCCAATTGTACAGAAGTGTGCTCATTTGTGGATCTTGTCACGGCTGTGATAATTGATGATACTAGTGCAATGATCAATGCGGAGGACCCTCTAGAGGCCGTATTGTTGAATCTTGATGTCAATGATGATGAGGGCCGAGTGGAGTGCGTGAATGCTTTACATGGAATGGGCTCTTATTCTTATGAGCCTAGGAAACTCTCTTTGAATCTTGAAAATAGAAAAACTCCTCCAACAAAGCCTTCAATTGAGGAGCCTTTGGTGTTGGAATTGAAGCCATTGCCTCCACACCTCAGGTATGAATTCTTAGGCCCTAATTCAACTTTGCCAGTTATTCTTTCCTCTTGTCATACTAACATGCAGGTAGATGCCACATTGGCGGTGCTCAAAAAGCGGAAGAAGGCAATTGGATGGACTTTAGCTGATATTCGGGGAATAAGCCCCGCATTCTGTATGCACAAGATTATTCTTGAAGATGATGCAAAACCCTCCTTGGAACATCAAAGGAGGTTGAACGAGGCAATGCAAGAAGTTGTGAAAAAGGAGGTGATCAAGTGGTTAGATGCCGGGGTTGTGTACCCTATCTCTGACAGCTCGCGGACTTCGCCGGTGCAGTGTGTGCCGAAGAAGGGTGGTATGCAATGCTAACAATGAACTAATTCCAACCCGAACAGTTACCGCAGTAACAAGGTGACCCGCAAGGATCACTTCCCATTGCCTTTCCTTCACCAGATGCTTGATCGCCTTGCTGGGCGTGCCTTTTATTGTTTCTTGGATGGATATTCTGGGTACAACCAAATCTTGATTGCTCCGGAGGATCAGGAGAAGACCACATTTACTTGTCCATATGGCACCTTTGCTTTTTCTCGGATGCCTTTTGGGTTGTTTAATGCACCGGCAACATTCCAACAGTGTATGATGGCCATTTTCACCGATATGGTGGAAGATATTTTGGAGGTGTTCATGGACGACTTTAGTGTGGTGGGTGATTCATTTGATGAATGTTTGAAAAATCTGGATAGAGTGTTAGCCCGTTGTGAAGACACCAATCTTGTGCTCAATTGGGAAAAATGCCACTTCATGGTTGAGGAGGGCACAGTGTTGGGTCATAAAATTTCGAAGCATGGCATAGAGGTGGACAAGGCCAAAATAGAGGTGATTTAAAGGCTTCCTCCCCCCACTTCTGTCAAGGGGGTTAGAAGTTTTCTTGGGCATGCGAGGTTCTACCGGAGATTTATCAAGGACTTTTCGAAGGTAGTGAATCCTTTGTGCAAGCTACTAGAAAAGGATGCCAAGTTTGTGTTCGATGAGGGATGTATGCAAGAATTTGAACTTCTCAAGCATAAGTTGACCACTACCCCTATCATTACCGCACCCAATTGGAGCTTGCCTTTCGAGCTCATGTGCGACGCGAGTGATGTTGCGGTTGGGGCAGTTTTGGGTGAAAGAGTGAACAAAATGTTTCATCCGGTGTACTACGCGAGCAAGACAATGACTGAGGATCAAAGGAACTAAACGGTTACTGAGAAAGAGTTGTTGGCTATTATGTTCGCAATGGAAAATTTTCGGCCATATCTCATGGGAGCCAAGGTTATAGTGCACACTCATGCAGCTCTTAGATATTTGATGACGAAGAAAGACTCCAAAGCTAGGCTGATGCGATGGGTCTTGTTACTTCAAGAGTTTGATTTGGAAATTGTGGACCGAAAAGGTAGTGAAAACCAAGTGGCGGACCACTTGTCCCGCTTGGAGGAGGAAGGGAGGCCGTGTATCTTAGAGGCTTGTCATTCCTCTCCCTATGGTGGCCATCATGGTGGTGTTTGTGACTCCGTTTGGTGCCCTTGATTTGAAGAACAAAAATGGGGAGATTTTCAGAGTTAATGGGCACAGAGTCAAGCACTACCTGGGAAAAATTGATGGTAGCCATGTGGTGGCACTTCTTCATCTCAAATGATTTGATGGTAACATGCGTCGTGCCGCGACATTAAATCAGGCAGGCGCTTCTTGGGAGGCAACCCATGTATTTTTCTTTTCATCTTTCTTTGACTTTCATTGTAGTATAGGATTTATTTTTGGACTGACTGGTTGTGAGATGCTACAGGATTGTGTTGATGCAGTGCAGGACAAAGTGAAAGAATTGTTCAAGTCTCTGAAGTTTGCAATGTGGACCGCACTGCATTTAGTGCGTGTAAGCACGTGATTTTTGCCCTATACGAAATACTCCTATAAAATCCCAAGAAAATAGATTTTTTTTGTTAATTATTTGCCATTTTATAGGATTTTGTAGTATTTTTATTTAATTGTTTGCATTTTGTGCATGTTTAATTTTTACTTTAATCATGAAAAAATACCAAAAAATATCATGCATTGCATTTATGATTTATTTACATTTTTAGAATTAACCAGTAATTATTTGTTTATAGATATTCGAAAATCACAAAAAATAGCTCATTTTTACATTTTTTGTCTTTTGATTTTTAGCTTATTAATTTTTCTCTTTTAATCTAATATATGTTATTCTTGGAACGGGTAGCATATGTATCAAAATAGTCTATGCCTTCCTTTTGAGTGAAACCTTTTGCAACTAATCTTGCTTTGAAGGTTTGGACAAAACCATCTGTATTGTACTTTCTCCTAAAGACCCACTTACAACCTATAGCCTTTGATCCAAGAGGAAGATCAACTAAAACCCAAGTGTTGTTGGATATAATTGAGTCCATTTCATCATCAACAGCCTCATTCCAAAAGGCAGCGTCTCCAGAAGACATTGCTTCTTGAAATGTCTTTGGATCTTCTTCAACATTCAATACAATAGGAATTTGATTACAAACGTTCATATCTCCTTCAACAAGAAATACTATAGATTGTGAAGAAATAAAATTAGAACCAAGATGTTTTTCTTTTCTTATTATTTGGCTTTTACTTGGTTATATTTGCATATCATCACTTCTTTCTTTATTTGTAATAATTTCAGAAATTAACAATTTATTAGCATCAATATGTTTTCCATTTACTTCAGTCATTTCACCAACATTGTCATTTATAAATCTATTTTCAATAAATTCCACATGTATAGATTCTATAATGACATTAGATTCTAGATCTAACAGTCTATATGCTTTGGAGTGTTGTGCATA